TAGAGTGGCCTGCTTGAGTTGCCACCAGCGACTTGCCTCTCCTATCAGCATGTAGGTGGCAAGTATGACTCTTTGTTCGAAAATCACTCCAAGAGTCGTGAAGATCTTCTATGTCTCAGCTAACCAGTACTTGACATCTTCAAAGGAGGATCCTCCTGCAAAAATAGATGAGTTTAGTCTTTTATACCTCTCAATGTAGCTTGAGTCTATCATGGGAGGAACTGGGTCCCGTGGAAGAGGGACTAGATTGTGCCAGGGATGGACCAGATGACCCCATGGTGGTATTAAATGATATGGTGGAGGCACTGGATTATACTGTGGTAATGTCGGATGATGCGGTTGGGGCACGGGGCTATACTGTGGTGGTGCTGGGTGGAACTGTGGTTGAGGCACCAGATCATACTGTGGTGTTGCCGGATGGTACTGTGGATGAGCAGCGTCGTACCGGGGTTGCTCAACCTACGGTAGCGGGAGAAGGTCAGGTAGTTCTCTCATTTCCTCTCGGGCCTGCTGGGCAACGATGAGTCTCTCCAGCATTTCAAATAATCGGTCAATATTCTCTCGAAGCGAACCCTCCCAGGCTGCTTGGTTCAGTGGGGGTCTTCATTTCCTCATCTATCTGTACCTGTATTTCATAAGGAATAGTTGAGTGATAATTCATTCTTTGGTATTTCCTAGGATTTTTGTGTAAGGAATGGTTCTGAGGAACGCGGCTCTGATACCAACTGTAATGACCCGGAACTTAAAAGAAAATAAATTATAAATTGAATGCGGAAGCGAAATAATAGCGTTAGAGTTTACATTTGTTACACAATAATTCAGAATACCCAATAGGGTTACGAGAATATTCATTCTAAAAGAACAATAAATAATCAAATAAATAAATGAAAACTAAACAACTGAATATCCTATTCGTAACTCACTTGTGGATCGGGATCTGAATCTAGTCCTCTTGATTTAAAATGGTTAATGAAAGAGTGAGCTACACTAATCCAGTAAGAATGTCACATTACTCACCGATACAAAAATTAAGGTTGGTAAAAATCATGAAAATAACTAATGGAGCTCTTAATTTAAGTAAATTCATTTATCATAAGTAAAATTATTTATTGTATACTTACCGCAGCGAAATTTTTAAAACTGACCTATAGAGATAATAACACAAACAATATCATAATCTCATATTCAATTAAGCAGAACAACAATTTTTCATTTTTATCTGCTTACTGGTATCTATAGGGGGTCTATAGGGATGTCCCCACTACACGTGAACCCTTATTCAACATTTTCAAGTAATCGGCCGTCCCCATACCCTGTCTGATATGAGCGCCAAAAATACCATCTCTTAATACCCCGTCCAGTATGAGGGTGAAACAGATCGTCTCCATACCTCGTCTGGTATGAGCGTCAAAATATCAATCATTGATACCCCGTCCGGTATGAGGCAGCGCTCATGGTAGGATTCTCTATGCACCCGGTTCGTGCACTATCTCCCAAGATATCCAATAAGGCTACCATTCATTCATTTACTTAAGCAAATAATTCTCCATTTACATTTAATTTTTAGTTTCACAATTTAACTGTAAATCACGCAGAACAAGCAATACATGCATCAAGAAAACACCACTGAATCATCATACTAACTCCAGTGTAATATTATGCATTTGAAACAGTAAAATCAATCAAATAGGATCAACAATGAATAATAACCGGTTCCGCCTCCATTAGTAATATATGATTAATCATCGAAATTTTTTAAATTATAAAAAATATCACATTATTTATAATTAAACTTCAATTCCATAACAAGGAATAAAGTGAGGGATTCTTACGCGAATCGGTGTCTGAATGCTAAACTTTGAGCTGCGCCTACTGGCGGTTCATAGATTCTCTAAATTTTTCTTCGGAGATTAAAACACACTACAAGTACCTAGAAATACCCTAAAAAACTCAAAACCGGTGTGAAAAGCCTCTTCCGACCAATTTTAAAATTTCGACACGGCGGCACCGCTGCGAGCGGTGGCAGTTTTCCTCAGACTGGTAGTTTTCGATCGGTTTTGTACTCATCAATGCGAGAAAATACGTTAAGAGGTCTCGGTTGACCGAAAAAAATTAAAAAATAGAAACTTACCGGCGACAGAATTTTCCGGTGCGGCAGCCCCGCCGGCTCACCTTCACGGTTAGACGTTTCTCTTCGGTCAACTTGTGAAAAACAGAATGATGAATACAATGGTGAAAAAATTGCACGAAACGGGAATCGGAAAGGGCTTCATCGGAGGCAATTTTTGAATTTTCCTGCAACGGCGCTGCCGGGCTTTACCTGCTGTTTTCGGCTCATCTACTAGTTCTTTTGCTCCGATTTGGCCATGTGGGTGTTTAAAATCGAATTTCGAGCGAATAAAATTTTTTTTACCTCTTTTGACAGTCGGAGGTGACTCAGGTACGGCGGCGGGCGGCGGTTGGCTCTCTCTCTCTCCCAGCGACTGGTTCTTCTTCTCTGGCGGGGGGCTGGCAGCTAGGGTTAGGGTTCAGTGTGAAGTGATGTATTTATATCCGTCTCTCTTTAATCTGAGTCGTCCGATCGCGTTTAAATAGGAAATGAATCTACACCGTTCATCGTGATTTGATCTGAACCGTACGATGGCGCCTGAGGAGGGAATGAATCCAGACTGTCCACGCGTGCATGAATAATTTCGGACTGTTCGATCGCTGGCACGCGGGCTGCCAGCGTGGCCTCTTGCGTGGCACCGCGTTAGCATTCCTTGCCACGCGACGCGCTCCAGTTTGTCGGGACTGCTGACTGGACGGTTATACGTGACACATTTTTTTTAAATTATGTTTTGACTCATAGTTTCCGATTTTTCTTTTAAAAATACATACAGAACCTAAATTCACATTTTTTTTTTTTAAATTATTTTCAATTTTAGCATTTACCTATTTTTTTAATTTTTATATTAAATAAAATTCATAATTTAAAAAAAAATATATTTTATACATTAATTTTAATTTTTTTAAAAAATTAATTACAGGTATTACATATATGTTATCTCTAGGACCATAAATAATAATGAGTCCACTAGTACTATCACAATTTTGGCTGCACTTGTTTAAAAATTAGCCACTACTGGAAAAAAAAGAAAAAGATCATTCGATTATATTATGAAAGTTTAATTTAAAAGTAAAAGACATTATAAATCAAGTAAACCAATAATTTTTTTATAAAGTTTTTTCCTTTTTTAATACATATATGTATGTGTATATATATATATTGCATTAAACAAATATAAAAACTGAAACTTTTAATTTAAAGGAAAACACCGTTAATCATTTAGCAAAATTTGTTTGTTAATTTTATTACAAAATTAAGTATTCAAAGTTTAAACATCAATCCTGTGTAAGGACATTTAATTACCACCATTAGCGACTAAAATCAATTAATTAAAGATGGGGGGCATGACTAATAAATAACCATTTAATGAAAATCTCATTATCAAACAATTAATGAATTATATCTTAAAGACTAATTGCTTAATGGGAGAAAACTTAGGCTGGCTGGCAGCCTTCCACCCCATCCATCTTACTGTTGTTTATTTCTTTAAATATATATATTAAATTTATTTCTGATTATTTAATTAAATCCAACAAAACTTATTTTTATTATTTAATTCAATTAAATTATGAGACATTAATATCTGATGGGGGCTTTTTCTACATGCAAAGCCCAAGTGTATTCTGATTGTGATTATTTTTTATGGGTATTAAATTTTTTTAAGTATATATATGCACAGAACTTAATATTTCACTTTTGGGATAATCTTTAAATTAAGTTATTTCCATTTTCCTTCTCCCACATTATAAAATATGTATGAGGGTAAAGATAATATATAAAATAATATTAGTTGTTGAGCCAGCAGCTGCGTGCAAATTTAAGTAGGAAATTAAGAAAATTGAGTCACGGATAGTTGAAAGATATACAAGGACAAACGAATAGCCCTCACCTCTGACGTCCATTACAAATATACTTACCCACCTACTACATATATATATATATATATATGTATGTATATATAGAAAGGGATACGGCATGAACAAATTAAAGTGCTAAATCCCAGAATCTATATATATATATATATACACACACACACACACAGTGTGATGTAATACCAGTGGCAGATGTATTTGTTTCTTCCCTTGTCTCTTTATATATGTATATATATATATATATATATATGCATATATTATGTTAAACTAAAATGAATTAATAGAGTCTGGATTCTGAATACATAATAAATTGCCAAAAATATTTGTAGTAGAATTAAAATTTTGTGGGATTTCTTTCAAAATTTAGGCTTAGTTTGATGTGAAATCAAAACAATTTATTCAACTTCATGAAATATAGGATTTATTTTAAAGTTGCCACAATTTAACCTATACATGCAAAAAGTACGAGAATTAATATATATATATAGCTATAAAATGGAAATTAAATTAAGTAAAAAAATGGAAATTTAATTGAACATTAGGATTCCGGAGTGGGAAAAATTGATTAAACTAATCATGAAAATGCTTTAAATGATAAAACCAGGGTGGCATGTAGATTGTTGTTGATTAAGTAATCACTTTTGCTTTCCTTTTCAATTATAACTTTTTCAATCATTGAGCAAAAAAGAAAATCAAAAGTATTTGCACTCAAATGAAAATGAATATGATATTATTTTCCCACTTCAAATCTTTCATCAACCAAATATATATATATATATATATATTAACTTCATGCATAATTTTGGGTATATTAATTTAATTTCCTACCCATCTCTCAATCACTGGAAGACTATCATTATACATTAAATTTCATGAGAAATCATGATAACTTAAAAATTAATAATCCCATGTCTTCTCCTATTGGAGTTATGAACTTACATACACATGTTGGGAATTATGAGCAAGTATGGAGGAGGCATTGTGTGTAAAAATATTCAGAAATACATTTATCTGTCTATCTATACATCTATATGGTGTGTGGTTTGTTGAGATCTAGTTTCTCTGTTGGCAAACCATTGAATTGTTCTTCTAGCAATCGGCAACCACAGCCGTCTGATTCTCTCCTGCTTTTGATTGGTTTCATCAGAATCATTAATTCTGTTTGCATGTCTTGAAACTGCAGTGATCTCAGACACTGATCTTCTGTCTGATGGATTTATGATTCTTGATGTAATAATCAAAGAATCTGAAGTAGAATTAGTTTTGTTAATTAATGAGCTACAGCTACTTCCAACCTTATTCTCAAACAATCTCTTCCTCTCAATCTCCTCCTTAATCTTTGCAATTTCTTCATTTTCTGCTGTTCTCGATCTTGTTGAAACCTCGTCTTGTTCGATATTCCAAGAGAATCTGTCACTTGACATGCCATTAATCATCTCAGAATTCAAACACATAAGATCAGAAGAGCTAACACTGCTCCACCGGTTCTTGAACACCACATGATCAGACACCATAATCTTGTGATTGAACTTGTGTAAAACTTGCTGGTTATCAGCCTCTTGTTGGATCAAACTTGCTTCTTCCTTATCAAAATTACCCTTTGTAATTTTCCTAAAGCTGCTTCCAATACTGAATCTTGAAGACCCATGACGTTGATCTTCTTCTTCTCTCTGGACATAAAGCTCTATGTTGGAATCTTCTCCGAAGTCAGACTGGTTCAAGAACCTCATGCTAGTAGAATAAACAAAGAGAGAAGAATCATCAGCGTTGACTTTATGTCTGCAAAGAGGGCAGCTGGAATGTTTTTCAAGCCACTGATCAATACAGTTGATATGAAAAGCATGTTTGCATTTGGGTAAGAGTCTGAGAATCTCAACATCTTCAAATTTTGATAAGCAGACTGAACATTCAAGGCCTTGTTTGGAGCCTTTTAAAGATGAAAATCTGAAGAAAGGGAGGGATTCAATCACCGTCTTGTCAACACCAGAAAACGTACGAGACCTTAATGGGTTGAGTTGAGGAG